TCGTCGTCATGGCCGTATTTGCAGAGATATTCTCTAAAACACCCATGCCCCGTCAAAAACTGTGTAAGGTAGAAATCTGTTTCTCCATATTTGCGCTCTACCCACGCTTGTACGCTTCTAATTAGCCCGTGGGTCCATCTCCCTGTTGTTACCACATCCCATCGTTTCTGCCATTCATTGAGGATTGTTTGTCTTTCATCCTTACGCTCATCCACCGTTAATCGCCTGCCCAGACATTTGGACCTGTCATATACTAGTTTGAGTTCCATGGCCATTATCTCTGGTGGAATGATACCCGCTATGATTCCGGCTGCTTCGTGGGATACCATGCAAAATGCGCACCTGACCCTAATAGCACTGAGCCGCATTACGAATTTCGTATTCGTTCTTATCCTACGTCTTTTGCTGTAGGGCTGGTCCCCATACGGGCGCCGCGTACATCAGAATTGATTGGTTCACCTTGGCCAGTAGCGCTCGCCTATTCTGGCTTGGTCCACCAATTTTGGCTATTATTCTCGCTAGTGCGGCCGTTACACGTGCTGCTTTCTCACATACTTTGTCAATGTGCGTCTTCTAGCTAAGTCTAGTGTCTATCAGTACTCCTAGATACTTCAGCGACTGCTGCGTCATGATACTATGACCGTCGATATTTAGTTTGATGCCCTCAAGTTTCTGTGATCAGTACAGCTTCAGTTTTATGCCCAGTAAGTTGAAGGTTTGATGGTGTGAGCCATTCTGTGATCGTTGCTGCCGCATTGTTGTGGAGGTTCTCAAGTTGGCCGAGTTCCTTTGCTACTAAAGTTATGGCTATATCATCCGCGTATCCGATAATCTGAACCTGCTTAGGAAGAGGGAGATGCAGCACCCCGTCGTATAGTACGTTTCACAGCAATGGGCCAAGCACAGAACCTTGGGGAACTCCTCCCGTTATCGCATATTTTATTTGTCCTTCATCCGTATCATACAATAACGGCCGATCAGATAGATAAATGCTTATGATCTTGATCAAGTAAGCCGGTGTTTCCTAACTTTCCAGGGCACTTATTGTATGGGGCCAGTACGCGGAGTTAAACGCGTTTTTGACATCATATGTGACTACAGCGCAGTATTCCTTTGTGCCATACATCCATATGGTTTCTTCTATTGCCTTGTTAGCTAGATCAGTGAGCTTCTAAGCTTAAGAGATTATAATCGCATCAGTCGTTGACCTTTGTTTGCGGAATCCGTATTGGTTATCGGAGAGACCCTTCTTCTCTGCTCTTTCTAAATGTAGGTCTAATCGTACACAGATTATTCGTTCTAGTACCTTGCCAATCGTATCCAGCATACAAAGCGAACGGTATGAGCTGGGCTCTCCTGCTGTCTTATTTGGATTTTGCAACAAGACCAGTCGTTGCTGTTTCCATATTTTCGGGAAGGTACCCTTTTGTAAACACCGCGCAAGAAAATGGTGTCGCATTGTGTTTAATAGAAATCTTTAAAGCCTTATTTGGAATACCATCCACGCCTGGTGCTTTGACATTTCCGAACCTCTCTGCCATTTGTATTACCTCGCCGTCAGTAACTATTGTGTCTTCCATTTCTTCGTGTTCTTTCGCTTGAGCCTTTAGTTTTTCTAGGATCTGCGCAGGGAAAAGAGTTTCCACAATCGTTTTTAAGCAGGTTGGTGCTTGATCTTTGCCACCTCTGATTTTCGCCATTACCAGCTTGTAAGCACCGCCCCATGGGTTTTAATCGATTTTTCCGCAATGTTCTTTAAAACAGCATGATTTACTTGTTTTAATTGCTTTTTTTAGATCGTGGCCTTTAAAAGCACTCGCGTAGTTGTATATACGCCGTATGCCTGCCAATTTGTTGTCCGCGCCAGCGAGCTACTGGCGAAGGTTATATCTATTAAGGAACCACGACCGTTCTTCTCGAAGATATTTTGGTTGCCGAACACCACACCGTCTCTAATAGCGAAAACGCCTTTATCAGGGCATCTCCACGTTTATTTGAACCATTGCTACCCCACTCTATGGCCCATGCATTGAAATCACCTGCGACCACGTTCCTAGTAGTAGACAAAACTTCTCTGACCAGTTCTTCCAGAATTTTTTTAAAATCACTCTGCGGTATGCTTGGCGGTATATAACAACTGTAGAAGTTGATCCCACCGATTTTCACTCGAGTGTAAAACGATTTACCTAATAGCGTCTTGTCTTGAAAATTTTTCTCTCCAAATGCCTATATGCTTTGTTCGTGCTGTCAGAGATCCATGTAGCGTCGCTTATGTTTTTATATTGTTCACTCAGTAAAGCTACATCTACTTTCTTCTCATATACCGTTTGCTTAAGAAGCTCTTGCGCAGCCTCGCAGTGGTTTAGGTTGAGTTGCATGACTCTCATTTTAGTGCTTTTGTATGCTTCTTGATACAGGGGACATTTTTTGCCACCTATTTGGTTATCGGTGTTTTCCCTGCCCTTTTTCTTACGTGCGCTGCATGAAGGATTTTTATCGCAGGACTTCGCTAAGTGTCCAGTTTCTCCACATTTGACACAGCACTTGCTCCTATCGTCGGGATTGTTGTATGCTTTGGCAGATGTCCGTATTTGAGACACCTCCTGAGATTTTGCTTCGCTCTAACTGTACACACTACCCAACCTACTTTGATTTTACGTGCATCTAACAGTGTCCTGGCCGCAGGCTTACCACAGCCGTTTGTGTTCCCAAGTATGCAGTCCTGATGCTTCTAATCGAATTTATATCAATATGGTTCCGCTCCTTTATTTGAGTGCGTATGGCCTCGGCAATATCCTGCTTTGTAGTTATTTCGTCGAGATCACGTATTTCCACCATTACTTCGTGAGTTAGGGCTTTGATCTGCGCTTTGTTTCCCAACACACGAGAATACTTCGTATTGCTTCCTTATTTGCAACGCTGGTGGTGACGACCTCGCTCTCAGAGGCTTGTCAACACCAAGGTTTTTGATCGGACACTTACCCAGCTTTGGTGCCCGTTTAATGGGGTCTTGCGTTTCTTCCACTGCTTCCTATGATGCCAAAAATGTTGCCACTGTTGTTGTTGTTGGTTTTATTTTACTCGTTACTATCCATGTATTTATGTTTACGAGCGCATCGTGTGCAGGGTGGCGGGCCGAAATTGATAGGAACGGGTGTACCCTCGGGGACACTGCTCCTACCCCCGTTCCTTGAGGCCTGTCCTTCGCTTTTCCAGGACCGAAAAACAAGGACGGGCCGGCGCTCGCCCGGGGCAACACAGACTACTACCCCTGCGTCCAATGCACACTCCTTGACCAGGGCCCCAAGAAGCTGGTTCCTGATACACATCGACAGAGTGTGCTCACATCACTGTCTCCATCCCGTCAGCAGAGAAGTCGCTGTCGACACTTTGAGAGACTCCCAGTGCATCGCGCTGTGTACCGGTCAGTTTTTGATGACATCCGGACCTAACATGGTGAACATTATGGTTCCGACGCGCCTGGATTTTTATTGGGGGAGAACACATATTTCTATAAGGCGGTATCTATTCGCCACAGTCACAAGAGCTTCAACGGATTTGCTAGCTTTTATACCGCATCCTCCACTCCTGCCGCTCATCTTCGTTGATTGCTTATTCGTTTTAACTTATTTCGCAACTGACCTGCTACTACAGGCCGTTCGGCTATCCGCGACCTGCAGACCCCCCCGGTAGCTTAGAGCCCAGCTAGAGCGCCCAAATTCGATAAGACAAACCACTCCATCCGGAGCAGCTGTTCTCTGGGTGCATGCGTCTGAACTCACTGAAGGATGCGAATCGCGCGCAGGCCCCCTCAGCAGCAGCGATCACCCAAGCGGTCGATTAAAGTGGTATCGCAGGGGCAATACCCACATCTCCCACCAAAAGACAGGAAAAGGTTACACTATTGGCCGTCGGACGGCGCAATGTCCCCGTAACGGTGCTGAGTCAACCGATGCGGACATTTATTTATGTATGCATCCGTATTGCATGTAAATGCATATAATTTTATGTGTTTGTTTAAGTATGTATGTACGTTTTGTACTGCCATGACGCAACTATGTATGTACAGGTTGTGTACTTTCGAAACGTGCTTCCTCTTAAGAAAAATATTTTTAATCTATAATTTCAAATTCTTTTTTCTCTTGAATTTCTTGTTTACATTATGAAGATTATGTGTGATTTACATATATACATTCGTATTTAGTTATCACACAAAAACACCTTTTCATTGGTAGAATCTTTAAAACATTTATTTTTGAGTTATAAAAACTTAATAAAACGGCTGGTTTTGACATTATGAGTTACAACTTCTTTGTCAACGTTATATAATTGAATCATAATTCGAACCAGAAGAAAGGGTAACATTTCTCAAAACGTAAGAGTAAGAGTTGCACAGGTCATGTTTATTTATCGTTTTTAATTGTTATTTTTAGAATTTTACTGCTAATTATAATGAATTGGTGAATTTTGCTAAGCGCAATAATGGAAATTGCGAAAGGCAGATTTTTTGTTCTTTTATCACATTAAAAATGGAAAAGTATGTACGTAGTCAGTTGTAATAATGATACGTGCTATCTGCCGAAATGCCTGATAAAGAGAAGAGTTTTTTAATTAACAAAATTTAATACAATACGAAATGTGAAAAATGAATGACAATTCAAAATAATTTCATTGCAAATTAAGGAGTAATAGAGTAGGTTATGTTGCCACATTACTTTCATCCATCGCTTGTGATGGTATTCGTTCGTGAGAGTGATATGCTGCTACATCTGAAAGCGATAGGTGTGATGTTAGAGCAAGTGTGTCGTTATGTTGGTCTAATGAGCGACATTGGGGCAGTTGTATGAGCCATAAACATTAACTTTTGCCTCACATAATCGTTAACTCCATAAAACCGGATATATAATCCTTAGCACACCTGTTGAACCTTAGCACCCTATATGAACTTGTTTTCTGCAAAAATTACTGCTAAAACAAACATTTTCTTTATTATATTTTAGACTACCGCAATCCTCTACTCAAGAGATGCAGGATACATCTATTCCACCTGCGAAAGTGCAGCTACAGCAACAGACCACTGCACAATCATTAACAACACCATTGCAAAATAATATCAATAAAAAATTGAACGGATTTCTCAACTTAAAAACACCCTTGATTGGGTAAGTATACCTATACGAGTATATGTATATGTACATATATTGTTCGTTGTCCTAACACAAGCGTAAATCTGTACGTATTTTCTTAAGCGTAGTTTGATTTCGTTTTACAAATTAGAGTAGAGATGCACACCTTTCACAAACACTACTATAATAAAACGGTTTGAAAATTAACAGTCAACGCGCACCTGAGCAAAATACCTGTTATTTGAAATGGTTTATTTTTACATTTTCGCAACATGTTGCTGGAGAACATATTAGTTTTTTTTACCTAACGGTTGTTTGTAACTTCTTAAACTACTGTCTGACTGTCTGTCGGTCCGTCTATCTGTGCAAGCTTTAACTTGAGTAAAAATTAATATACTTGTACTCTTATCTTGATGGAACTTGGCACTATACGAATGTCGGTATTATAGATAGGCGGTATGGGACCACTGCCACGTTCACAAAAGGCCAAAAACATATAAAGTGCCATAACTAATCCGCAAAATACAAAGCTGCAATTTGATACAACGAATCTTACTAGGGAGGGCACCTGTGGTTTCAAAATCTTGAAAAAGTGCGTGGTCCCGCCTTCCATTAAGTTTAATGTACATATTTAGCAAATTACTAAAGTTATTTCAACCAAATTTGCACAGGACAAATCTTTTCGCCACCTTCTACGACAGTATAAAACATAAGACATAATTAGAAAATAACGCCGCCCATTCACCATATAACAGTTGTGTTGAAAATTACTAAAAATGCAATAAATCACTAAATAAACATGCCAGAGACATTAAATTTTATGACTAAAAATTGACAAAATTGGGCTATAACTGTTCAAGCCCCCAGATCCGAAAACGTGAAACCCAGTGCTTATAGTTGAGTTTTTACCTAAAATATCGGTCAATGTGTGAGATATGCCATATAATTGAAATTCAGAGCGAATACTTTATTGTTAATAGTATGTCCGTATGTCACAAATGGGTTGAATCGGGCAACTACTTCCTTTAGCTCCCATATGCCTAATAAACCTAAAGATTTTCGAACTTTCGTGTGACTTTATACGACATTAAAAGCTTTTTTTAATAACAGTGTATCTTTGTGCCTAAAAAAGATCTAATCGGGTAAATATTTGCCCTAGCCTACCTTATACATAGATTTTCAAACATATGGTGGTTTTTTATGTGTTATACTAGAGGACCCCGTTCACGCATTGCTGTGGCTAAGGTATGTATTAATTATAAACTATTCAACACAGTAAAATTATATTTATGAATAAAAACGAAAATGTATTTCTGGTGTAATAATCCAAGGGGTTAAATGTGAATATCACTTCCAAATTTAAAAATTATTGATACAAATTTTCTTAGATTTGTTATTAAACCCAAATAAGCACAAAATAGAAGATGTTAAATTTTTTAATTTATTAATTGGCAAGAGGACAATTTCTCCAAGTATATCTGAATAATTAGTGTTTTCATTTTCATCAATAACAGTAACAAATGATTTAAAATACGTCTGATAGCCTAGCAACAACTGTTGTAACTGGAAAATAATTTCATCAGCTTCTACAGTTTTGGCCAAACAATTAATTTTTACTTTCAGGAATAAAATCTCAATTAATCAATTTTTCTTGGGAAAAAGAGTGCAGAAATTGTCTGGCAGTATAATGTATATACTTGGCTGCAATTCTATTCTTCTATTTCCAATATCTAGCAATTGCTCTGAATATATTTGTGCTGTTGAATCAATTTGTTATTGTGCGCCCATATTTATGGTCCATTGAAGTGTTTCAACACTTTACCAAAAGAGTGATTGCTTAAACATTCCTTAATCTCATTGGCTTAAGAAAAGCGAAGGATGACTAGGCTGTAGACAATCACCAGACAGTGGTAAGACAGCACCACCGTAAACATCGTTGACGTTTAAATATTGTATTGTTCTGTGAAATGCATCGAGGATAACATCTCAAATTATAATTGAACTTTACTCGATTAGATGACTTCGACCTGACTTTTAAATGTTTAAGTTTGTCAAAATGAGTGATATTTTACTGAAATTAAATGATCAAGTTTTCTTAAAACTAATGTGGTTGAGTGCTGAATACGAACGTTTTCTCATATGTAAACGACATTTAATTTAGCCTATTTGATAGAATTTGTATCACTTATATGTATTTTACTTGAGTTAATTAAATTATTTTAATAACAAGCATCTTGGACACGAGACAAAATATAGTAATGAAACTACATATGTGTGCGTATCACATATAGTATAAATTAATAATATACCAAATATGATTGTAGTCCTTTTACGCTTCCGTCGAATAATGCATCTTTAAATCTTTCGCAACATTTTTATACCCTGAACAGGGTTATTAGGTTTGTCACGAAGTTTGTAGAACCCAGCAGGAATCGTCGGAGATCCTATAAAATATACATATAAATTATCAACAAGACGAGCTGAGTCGTTTTAGCCATGTCCGTCTCTATATAGCTGAACTAGTTCCACAGTTTTTGAGATATCGATCTGAAATTTTTTCACATCCTTTTCTCCCCAAAAAGCTGCTCATTTATTGGAACTGTCGATATCGGACCACTATAGCATGTAGCTGCCATACAAACTGAACGATCAGAATCAAATGTTTGTATGGAAAACTTTTTCAATTGAGGAGATATCTTCACAAAATCTGGCATGGGTTATTGTCTAAGACAATAATGCAATCTCCTAAGAATATGTTCAAAACGGGGCACTTTAGCATATAGCTGTCATACAAACTAAACGATCGGGATCAAATGCTTGTATGAAATGTTCGGTTCCACTCGAACTAAGTCCTTCTTTACTTGTTTTGTTTGTCATTTTATCTGCCTAAGAACTATGTGCGGGAACGCTTTTAGGAGAATTTTGATACGTACAATTGCTGTTGAGTTGACAAACAGCACTAATAATTATTACTTTTATAATAACAATGACAACAGTGTGAACAAGCAGGATAAGTGAGATATAAATATAGATTTGAGGATATTAAACTTTTGGTTAATACAAAATTAAATTGTTATTAAGCAGGCCAAGTTTTGCGATGCACCTGAAGACTGACCATAAGTAGAGTGCGTAAAATTGTTAACGCCCCCAACAGAAATCAATGTGCCAGTTTTGGTACAATTGTATTACCAACGACAACTTAGCTTACATATATGAATGTGTAAGTGTTTCATGTCGTTGTTGCGTTTAATCGTTAAAAATACATATAAAGATGGTCGTGCTGCTGTGCTCGATATACGAAAAATATGATACAAACCATCAGACGCTTTTCTCACAATAATACATACGAAAATTAAGAAATGATAATATTTTATTTTTACGTATGCATATTAGGGTGTCCGTTACTTCCCAAATTTTGCACACGGTCAGTTTTTGCCCTATAAAAAGGAATCCAACGTAAACAAACTCTTTATTTTCAATTTAAACCGCGTGTTATTATATTTACTTTCCCATGTATATAACATGAAATTTTTGAATATTTTGCATTAAGCAAGTAAACTAAAACTTTGAAAAACTGATTATCAAATATAAAATTTTCCGCTCTACAAAAAGATCTGTTTAATTCTTTCCATATCTAAATGTTATTCGCATTTGAAGTCATACACTGTATTGTACATTCATACAAGAATTTTATTCATTATGGGTTACTCATACGATATGGTGTACTGTATACATCAAATGTACTGAGCATTAACACCAGTGTTCACATCTTGAAGTGAGGCGATTATCGTACCAGTAGCGTAGAATTATCGTACATGAAGCGAAATTATCGTACTTTTAAAAAGAGTGACAAATATAACTAAGAAATATTTTATTTTATCTCAATATATACTATGCAACATTTTACATATAATCTTCAATTCAATTCAATCTTAGAATCTTAAAACTATCAGTTATATTTGTTTCATATCATTTCTATTAATACTTAAAATTCCTCATTTGGCATTAAAATACTATTAAACTCTTCCAGATCCGAGTCATCATACAAGTCACAAAGTTTTTTATTCGTAGATTCTGATGTAGTTTTTCTTTTATACATTAAGGATTTGTTCAGACGATCATACTCGCTTTGCGATGGTTCATATGTTGTGCAATTAACTTTACTTTTTACTCTTTGTTTGGCTAAAAGAATACCATTAACAGTTGAAACCATCATATTATTTCAAGTTTTAGTTTTAATTAAATTAATGTGGCTAAATATGCGCTCACTGTCAGCATTCGAATGTGGAAGCGAAATTACATTTAACACAAATTTGGAAACATTTTTAAATGACATTCCCTGATCACCTTCTCCGCAGTCCATTAATTTTGCCCAAAAACTATCAATTGGATCTGCAATTTTGATATTTCCCGGGAGTTCAAAATATGGCAATTGACGCCACTCATCGTCGATTATTTGATGCTGATTGCTTGATGCAATTCGAGGCAAAGCCTCCATTAACGGCAGCAAACTTGGTATTAAATCTCTTGTCTTTTTTAACATCGCTTTTTGGGGATTAAGATTAGTGATCAATTTCAAAATAGGATTCGAAAAGTTGAAGCGTTTCTTTATTTCGCTACAACCTTCTACTAATAATTCAACACATATTATTGTAAAATCTGATTTTAATTGTTTGTTATTCCGAATTTCATTCTGATCCAAAATTTTTCTGACTTCAACACCGAAGTACATATGCTCTGAAGGTAAATAATGTGTCTTATTGCATGGATCTAGTTCACTTAAATCAGTTCGATCAATATAATCCCTTGACATGTATGTTTCCAACAATTCTTGATAGCTTCGGCACATTTTCTCGTGAAGACTCGTAACAACTACCGATGATGATTGGAAAAGTTCATTTAACTCGGTAAATTTGTAAATGAAATCCAAAAAGAGATAGAGAAATTTAATTAATGGATTGTTGAGAGCTTGGGTAATCTTTTCAATAGATTTTAATCTACTTGTTAACATTTGTTCTCTAAAATATAATTCTAAGGCAGGCCACTGTTCAATTATTCTTGAAACAACCGCTTTCAGAGATAACCAACGCGTTTGTGCTGGGCGAAGAATTTTGTGGACATCGATCTCGAAGAATGTTTGGAACTTTTGAAACAAATGTTGTCGTTTCGCGCTAAATTCTCCGTAAATATTTCGCGCTAAATCTTCGCAGCTCCTAGGTAGTTTCTTGCATGCATTACTGGCACAAAGATGTAAAGAATGGCATAGACACTTGAATATGTAAATGCCAGGGCACTTTTCAATGAACCTTGAAGCTACAGAATTACTTTTTCCCATCATTGTACTGGCTCCATCAGACGCGAATCCAATGATGTTCTTAAATGCAATCTCATATTCTTCGAAGGATTTTGTTAGTAGTTCAAATAAATGCCTCGCCGTAGCACTCTCAACATCTGAACTAGGTTCAAAAACTTGACAAAGATCCCAAAATTTGCTCACCACTTCTCCTTCTTCAGCATCGAAAAATCTGTTTTATGAAAAATACAATATTTATGGAATGTATAAAATATAGAAATACAATAGACTTCAATCAATAAAAACTGACATATTCTCTACCTTACAATGACGAACATCATTTGAATGCTCCCAAAATCAGTAGATTCATCTATTAAAACACTAAACAGACTGGTCTGTAATTTATTTTGTAGTTGTTCTTTTTCAGCTTTGGCGATTACATTTTTTATTATTGCTGTTCCTTTCGTTGCTTTTAATTGCATATGTTTGATGATATCGGAATCAGGCACAGCGCTTTTTAAAAGTGTTGTCAGGTGAGTCAATGTTGCCAATGAGATATTATGTTCAGCCACAAAACCACACAACTTTACTTCGAGAGCTTGAACTGATTTAGTTTTTGTGCAGACTTCATCACTTTTTTTTACAAATTTGGAAATGGCCGGCTGAGCTTCTAACAACTTACTACGACTTGCGTGAACTTTGGAGAACATGTGGTTTTTAATGACAGTCAACTCTGCTTTTATTATAATATTGCGCTTGTGACACTTAGCTTTATACGGATCGTCAGGCATCTTACTAAGCCATTGCTTATCATCTTCATGTTGAAGCCAGGCGTCTCTAAATTTTTGAGGGCGATGTTTATTGCTAATTTTTGCAATTTTTCTTGGAGGTGTAATGTCCAAATCAACATCAGTTGGTTTAGTATTATTTATTTCTTCGGAATCTTCACGTAAAGAACTCATTTTTCACTTTACAGCTACAGAGTGTAAATGATAGTTTATATATAGTTTATAGCCATAAAATTGTTTTCGATTGACATACTTACTCATTAATATAAAAACACAATCATTTAATTCAATTTTAATCGTGTTGAGCTTCCAGTTACAGTTTTTTTCAATTACTTTTTTAAATCTTGAACGCGAGCACGTTAGCTCCATACAATAACAAGAATAACAGCGAACATTCGAACACTAAATATGCAAAGTCTGTGAAGTCTGAACATAATCGAAATCAAACCACAATATCGATATTATTTGTTCGTTGAACGAACCAGTAGATGGCGTTGTGAGCAAAAAGACGGAAAAAATATTTGCTAGCAGTAAGAGCCAAGAGCTCGTGCCTTCTCCTCTTTTTTCCTATAAAAAAAACGTAGGCATGAAATTGTCGTACAATCTGCGTACGATAATGATATCATATCGTACATCGTACGTAGGCATGAAATTATTGCATATGTACGATAATTATCGTACGGTTGAGAACACTGATTGAAACACGTGATTTATACATTCTGGGTTACTCATTCGGCATGGTGTACTGTATGTACAAGTATACAGTACATTTGATGCATAACTTTATCTGCGTATAGCTTTTAAAGAAATGTTTTTATGAGTCCAGAAACGCCGCACAGTGCGCTCCGAAGACGATATTGCTGCTGTAGAGAAACGTATCGAAGAAGACCCGAATGAGTCCATCCACCACAGCGTGCAATAATTGGAGCTGTGCCCATCTACTTAATGGAAGATTTTGAGAAAGAATCTTGGTATGTGCGCTTATAAAATCCAACTCGTCAAGAATGAAAACCGAACGACCATCAATCGCGTCGTACGTTCGATGAAAAGGCCAAAAACCAGATGGCCACCATCGCTTTTCATAAGAAAATTTTGTTCAGCGATGAAGCTCACTTTTGGTTGAATGGGTACGTTTATAAAGAAAATTGTTGCATTTGAAGTGATGATAATCAACAAGCCATTTATATCCAGCAAAATTCACTGTTTGGTGTGCTTTATGGGCAGAGAAAGCCATTAGTCTATATTTCTTCAAAAATTTTTCCGCCCATAATGTTACAGTCAATGGGAAAAATTGGTCATCTCGTCTGGAATTTTTTCAAGCCAGCCGCGGTGATCACTTGTCCAAATTTATTTTTATACCATCATGGTAAACCCTTATTGTTGAAATCATAAAGTATAAGTACAAGTAAAACATTTCCTAGAAGGGCTTTCTCCGAAATATAGATAATATGAATAAGACAACTATAGCATATGAATAGAATATAAGTACATATATTATATGTATTTACATGCAAAGTTAAATATAAATTTGAGTCACTCTTGACTAAACCATTGAAGTAAAAGCCTGTCGTGCATTATAAAGAAATAAATAGCCCGTCGTTCGTTAAAGAAAAAGAACCGTTACAAAAGGTTTCATTATTCAAAAAGTTGCTTGGGTGCAGTTTGTCTGCAAATCATAGCATGTCGTTTTATCTAACTTCGTTTGTCGAGGTGGTAGATAAATTAGTCAAACTTAGGTAGAAATGAACGAGGAGCTAAAAGTTATTATACTTCTGTCTAGTTTGCCTACAGAGTATGAATACTTCGTGATAGCTATCGAAACACGTGACCAATTACCGACGTTTAATGTACTAAAAGTCAAGCTCTTAGAAGAAGGTGATAGAATGGAACAACAGATAAATCAAAAGCCGTCGGCGCAAGCGTTCTATGCTCGTCTTAAAGATTCAGCGCATAGTAGCAACAAATCACTTGCAAGGACTTAGGATAGCGCAGTGTACGAAAAAAAGATAACAGCAAACCAATAAAGGTGTTAAGCAGTAGGAAGAAGACAATGAGCTTTCGTATGCTGTGTATGCAACGACAGTGGGAGTTGAAAAGGATAAATGGGCTTGGTGCGTCGATAGCGGAGCGACCACTCATAAGTGCTGCGATAAAAAATGTTCGTCTGTCGAAAAACAAGAAAAAAGTAATGTTAGCAGCAGACAATTTCATTTACTCGCAAGGTGTTGGTATGTCGCGAATAAGTAAAAAAGAATGTGTATTAGAATTGCGTGATGTTTTATTTGTACCTTCACTCAAAATGAACTTTTATTCAGTGAGCAAATCAATGACATATAAACATTATTCAAAGATTTTTGTGTTGAAGTAAAAAACTCGAAAAGGACAACTCTACTGAGAGCCGAATTGCAAAATAATTTGTTTATTTTTAACGCACAAGTGAATAATTCGAAAATTATGCTAAACAATATGATGTGGCATAATCAGTATGGTCACATAGACTTGGAAAGAAAATCGTCGACAATAATTTAGTGCGTGGACTAAATAAAACAGACATTAACTCTAAAATGAATTGCGATACATGCAATAAATCAAAAATATGAGCAGTACCTTTTCATAAGAAGTCCGAAAGAGAATACAATCAAATGCTAGAACTTGTGCACACAGACGTTTGTGGTCCGATCAACGTAAAATCAGTGGGTTTGAAAGGTTTAAGACATCAAAAAAACGCAAGAGAAAATTAAAATGTTGCGTCGTCAGTATGGTACGGAGTACACCTAGATTAGTGAATTTTTAGACGAATCCGGAATTAAAAGACAATTGGCTGTGCCAAAATGGGGTGGCAGAAAGAGTCAACCGCACAATCGTTGAAATGGCTAGTGGCTTATTGGTACATGCTAGTTTAAAAGAATAATTTAGGGGCGAATCTGTGCATACAGCTGTGTACATACGTAATCGCGCGTCTAAAAAGTTGCTAAAAAATTCTACACCGTACGAAGTATGGTACAATAAAAAGCCGTCAGTAAAGCATTAAAGAGTTTTTGGTGCAAGAGCTTTTTCACTAGAGAAAATGCATCATGGTAAATTCAGCGCAAAGGGCAAAGAGCATGTGTTTGTAGAATACTCTGAAGTTGCAAAAGCTTATCGTTTGTATGACAAAGAAAGGACGCGGGTAATTATACGACGCGATGTAAAATTTACTGAAAACAACGACAGTTTCGGTGTGTCCGAATTTAAAAACAGTACTTCAAACGACGACCATATAGCAACAATAATTACAAGTTTGAACAATGAAAAAAAAGATCAGGTTGAAGATTTTCAAAGCTGCACTGAAGATGAAGATGATGGAATTGAAAACGAAGTTGAAAATGAAGCAGAAAACGGAGCACATGGCTCCAATAGTGAAATGCGTCGTGGCCGTGGTAGGCCAAAATCTGTTCATACAGTGAAGGTTGGCCGTCACAGAAAAGAGTATCAAAGGTTGATTTATCTTTAGTATGGTGAATATATAGAAACGCCACGTACCGTCATAGAAGCATTAGCAAGCGAATACTCCTTTGAGTGGGAGAAATCTATGCAAGTTGAGTATGCGTCGTTAGTTGCAAACAACACTCGGCAACACTCGTCAGCACGGTTGTTGTTAGTTAGGTTTAAATTATTGGGAAACTTTTTCGCCAGTAATTCGATACGAAATGATTCGTATGCAACTTGCAATTACTGTTGAGAAAGAGTTGCATTTACATAAAATAGACATCTCAAATTCATATCTTAATAGCAATATATCAGAGGAAGTTTATACAAGACAGCCAAAAGGTTTCATAGATCGTAAAAATCCGGACAAGGTCCTTAAATTAAGTAAAGCTATTTACGGCTTGAAACAGTAGGTAGAGGGTGGAGCAATACACTCGATACAGCATTGAAGAGTTTGGATTTCAATCCGTGCAAAAGCGAGCCATGTTTTTATGTCAAACAACAAGGCAAAGTGTACAGCTTCATAGCAGTTTATGTTACTGACTTAATATTAGAATGGCCCAGTGAAGAAGACATTACAAATATAAAACGCAAATATAGTCAGAGTTTAATTTGCAAGATGGTAATACATTGAAGTTCTTTCTTGGTTTCGAAACAGAAAGTGAGAGTAAAACAGGTGCAATTTCTCTGTGTCAGAAAAACTATATCCAGGAGTTGTTGAGCGTATACGTACGGTGTGAGCTCATGTCGTCCAGTAAGCACATCCCTCGATCCTGGTTTTCACATAAACTGTAACAATAAGAAGTGCTCTGAGGGGGACGTAACAAAATATCAGTCGCTAATTGGGTCTGTAATGTATTTGGCCATTTCGACGCGACCTGACATAATGCATGGAGTAAGTTCAATGGCGCAAAGAAATTAAGATCCTCGTTCCGAACATGAGGCTGGTGCAAAGCATGTTCTGCGGTACTTATCAAAAATCCTAGATTTAAAGCTTCATTATCGCAAGGTGGTAACTCGGTAGAAGGCTACGCGGATGCACACTGGGCAAGCAATAGTTTAGACAGGAAGTCATGTACCGGCTATTCATTCTTTCTAGCCGGCAGCACATTTTCTTGGCAATCAAAGAAGCAAGATGTCGTCGCTTTAAGTAGCACTGAGTCGGAATATATCGCATTGTGTACAGCAGCAAAGGAAGCAGTACATCTTCGTCGCTTGCTGAAGAAAGTAGGTTGTAGTTCCGAAGATCCTATTTCATTGAAAGGCGACAACATGTGCGCTATACAAATTTCGAAGAATCTTGTATTTCATAAACGAACTAAACATATAGAGATAAAATATCAATATTTGATTGGCTTGTGGTACCCCACAATTGGATGGCAAACGTCCATACAGGCTTTAAAATAGCCTTGTAAACCCGAACTGTGTTCTCCAAACTAAGCTGCGACTTTCTTCCAAACAACCAATA